GGGGAGGCGGAGAGGATCGTTTAGAAGCCCTTTCAATAATGTATGGGTGTTTAACGTGATCGTTTCATGCAAATAGCGAGCGGTACTTGTGTTACTGCCTCGTTAGCGCGGTTCTCTTCCCTTGATCAATATGGATTGTGGCCGAGACACATTTTCCAGTGTGGCAATCTTAAAAAAGAGATGCTAGTATTGTTCTCTGAGCTCTGCTAAATCCCAGAACCTTATCTGCTTTTTCTTTCTTTTTTTTTTTAGCCATTTGCAGCTGAAGTGGACTTTGAAACTGGGTGCTTACTTTGGTGATACGAGTTTGTCATACTATTTTCACTTCCTAACTTTCCTGATGATCTGAGAGAACTTAAGTATATCCCAGTAGCTGTGGGAATGGAGCAGGGCAGAGATGCTATAGAGAAAGAGAAGAGTAGCTAGTGGTGAGTCAAGGTAGTACTGTTGTTGAGCAAAAGCAACTGTTTTTCGTAAAGGGGGTTCTGGTGTTGTTCCAAAGTGAGGACCTGGTGTCCCACCTTGGCAAAGTGGACAGTTGGCTGACCTAGACACTGCTGTCTCTAGTGACTGAAACAATAGCCTCTTACCGTTTGTAAAGCGCTCTGAGCATGCTGAGGAAACAGGCGTGTATCTCTTAACCAGTTTGTCCAAGATCAAAAAGGGAGTCCCTGACTGTCTGCCAGTTACTGGTCTTGTGCTGTATCAAATGAAATTCAAGAGGGAGCTCCTTGAAGATACCTGTGAAAACATTGGTGACACGTGAAGAAGCAAGTAGTGGCTACAAGTGTGTGTTTTCTTGAAATAACAGTTTTTTCTCATGTTTGGTGTTACAGTGGTTGAATAGTGATAGGTTGGGAGTATGGAGTAGACAGGAGTACGGTTCCCCAAAATGCTGAAATCCAATCTTGACATGTGATACCTAAATGGCTTCAGCCCTTGTCAGAATTGAGGTTAAAGGCTGTGGCGTAATTCAAACTTCTTGCTGTTTTACCTCCTGTCCCATGCTGTAGTTCTTGACTAGCTCGCTTTCTTTTCAGAGGCTGACCAAGCAGGAATTCTGGCAGCTAGTGCACCAGAGCTATGGCTCTGAGCTGGGCCTGAACAGCGAGGAGATGGAGAGCTTCCACTCATCATCTGAGGACAACGGGCAGCCTCGGTAAGGGAGGCTGTAAATCTTATTGAAATACTCGGGGAGAAGCATTGTTCTCTTTCTCAGAAATTCTTTTTCCAAAGTGCTGCTGTAGCCTTACTAGAAAGGTTAAGCAGTAAAAGGATGCAAAGAATTGAACTGCATAAACTGAGCAGGCATAAAAACTTAATTGTGTTCATTGTCTAAAATAGGAGCAAAGCTGAGGCTGCTTAGAGGAGGGAGACAGGAAGACCTTATTCTCCCTGGATCTGCTTGGGGTTGTCAGCCGGAGGGCTTAAATGGCAGCCTTCTCTCATGATGGTATCTGTCAGGATCTGTGTGCCCTTCAACAATATGGAAGCGCTGAATGGAATGAAGCTGTATATATGATGTTCAGACATTTTCCTCTCCTCTGTGGAGACTGAAATACTTGTTTTGCTTTGTTTTCCTCATGTCTGAAGTCTTAGCTTATTTTTGTATTGTCCTCAGCTTGAATTAGGAAGCTGGAATAATCTAACTGTATGTGGATTTTTTTTAAAATGGTTACCTTGATTTTTTTTTTTTGAACAAATATGAACTATGTCAGTCTAATAACGGGGCTTTAATTTTGTATCTGTACATAAAAAAGTACGGCTCTACAAAAACCGAACAGTGTAACTTATGTCTTTTTTCAATTGTTATGTGAGTCTGTTTGTTAGAAAAAAAAAAATCCTAAGTTCACTGCAAGCTTCAAAAGATTATATTTATATTATATAAAAGTCATATTAAATATTTCCTGGTTTGTGTGGTTTTGGTTTGGTTTTGTTTTTCCCCCCTTGTAAAAAATGCACTTTGTTGCAACTCTGGCATAAGAGATGCAGGAGAAAATTCTTGTCTCAAGCTTTCTTAAAATGTTTTCATATCAAATTAATTCTAAGCTATCTCTTTCCTCTTTTCCCACAGTACTTGGTTTCTCTGTGATTCACCAGTGCTTGGTTTTACTTGGTCAAAAGCTGAATCTTCTGAGAGGTGGCTAGGGTGAGGGAAACGGCTTGAGAGATTAATGAGCTGGATGTAGGAAGAATGAGTTCATAGTTTTTAATATTAGCTAAACAGCCATGGTTTGGATGCAAAAATAACACAAGAAGCTTTCTCAGATTTTTCAGCACTTGCATCCCTAAGTGTAACTTCCTTTTTGCTTTGCACAGATCCAGCATTTGTGATGAGTCTGGTGAAAGAGATGAAAAACTACCTAAAATGATTGGTTTGGTTCGGGAACCCACGCTTCAAGCAGAAGGAGAGTCACTCAATAGACACGCACTACCAGGAGTAAGTGCTGACACAGCCTTTCTTGCTATCTGTGACTGATAAGCATGTATGCTTAATTTGTGTATCTATAAGCATAGGATGCATTGGGATTGTAACTTCTAAAGAACCTTGGAGAATTCATAAGAGTCTAATGCATAGCTTTTCACATCAGAAATTTAATACTAATATCTTCAGATTTCAGGATTATTTGTTGAATTTGGAAATGAACAAAATTCTGTGTAAGAGAAAATTGTTGGTGTGAGTTTCAGCAATGTCTTATCACTAATGCACTGCATAACCTGATATAATGTTGAGGCTTATGCCCTGGTCTTTTAAAAAAACCAAACAAACAAAAACCCACAACAAAAAAACAACAAACAAACCACAAAATTAACTGTTTTGTCCACCTTCCTAGGGACAATGTGCATTTTTATCCGAGTGCTTTATGAAAGTAATGCCTTTGTTCACTTGTGGTGCTTTCTTGCTTGTGCTATTTGTAGTTCCAAAAATATCTCCTCTTATACTTCTGTCTCTCCTATACATGAGGTTTACTGGAGGGTAGTTACACTGTGTTATCTATGTCTTCAAAGGTCAGTTAGTCTGCTGTTGTGAGTATATGAAACCTTTTTTTGTTTAGATTCATGAAAATGTTTCAGAAGGAAGCACAGCTGATACAATAAAGATGAGTTTTTGCCTTAATGTTTTGGGTTAGTTCGACTAAACAAGCATGAGTGCTTCAGTCGTGGTGTTGCATGAATTTGTGAATGTACTTTGGCTGGTGGGAAGGGCAAGTGCATTAGTAGCAGTATCTGAGGTGTGCACGGTGTCCAGCACAGTTGCTGGGAGACTCCTGTGTAGTTGTAGTCCTAAAGGTTTACAGATGTTTTCTCTTGATTAATAGATACCCCGAGGGAAAGATCTTGGAAAAGCAAATAAAGCACTAAAGCATTTCTTATAAACTTGACTAGAGTTGAGTACCTAATTACTGTTTCTACTTTGGAAAGTTTAGGGAGGGAAGAAAGGAGATGATTCTAATAGTTTCTAGTACCATGTAAATCTTCTGGCTTTTGTCACTTGCTAAAACTGATCTGGAGGTTAAGCAGGGTTTGAATAGTTTTGTCAAAGTCCAAGTTAATGGCTGGACACTCATACCCAGCAAACAATACTAGCTGACATAGATTAAAAGCTTGGTTAATTGGATGATGGGTATCCCTCATGGAAATCCTAGCAATATAAACCAAGATTTTTGGAGAGCTCTAAGGGAGTCCTGGGAAGACTGTGGATGCTGCTGGAATTTGGGCTCTTTAGGATAACTAAAAATCTACCCAGGTAGCCTTGGTTTGGACTTGTAAGTCTTATTTGCGCAAGAACAAGCCATTTAAAAATAATTGCTCTGCCCGGAATAGTAGTCTTTTGTTTACCTACTGGGTGCCATTCCCAGAGATCTCTTGCAGGTGCTAAATCTAATTGGGTATGTTGGTAGGCACTAATGCCTAGGGATTTGGTTTGTACACAAGGAAAAATGCTGGGATTCTCCCTTGAATAAACTGCCTTTAAAAAGTCCTTTAATTAAAGTGTGAAAGTGCAGTCTTGATAAACGTGTAGCTAAACTGTTTAGCTTACTGTTTCAGTGTAACTAAACTACATAATGATTGTGTTCAGCTGTATGTGGCCTCGGTATTTCTCAAGAATGTCAACGCTCTCCACAGCCCCAGGATGACAGCATATATTGTGGAAGCACAGGGACAATGGGAGGAGGAGGTAGTGCTTAGAATGTTTCTCAAACTATTGCCCTGATGACACAAAAAGCAGTTAATCACCCTCCAAAGACTGCAGGAAAACAGGCTTAACCTCTCCTTTACTGCTCTGATAGACAAAGTCAGTCCCAAAGCTTTCTTCAGAGGGAGATCTGAACTAATGGAAGGGTGAGCTACAGTACTTGGCCAGTCTTGGAAAAAATATTGTCAATAGCTGTCCGTAGTTGGTTAAAGAAAGTCTGTGTGTAACACCAGTCATGGCTGATCTGCTTCTCTAAGTGCAGTTCATCTCAGTGTGAGAAACACCTTATTGCCTGTATTGTCACCTGCTTCTTCCCTCCATCCCTTGTAGGGAGGCCTTTGAGTCCCAGAGCCTGCTGTTTACAGGTTAAAAAAACAGAGAATCCTTGGCACAGAGCTTGGCAGTACTGGACTAGCTCAGGAGATAAATGTACATAAGGCAGAAATTACACATCTTTAATTCCAGCTGACAGATCTTAAAATCATTACTCTTCAGTGTTAAAAAAAAAAAAACACCAAAAAAACAAACAAACCAAAAACAACCCACCCAAAACAAAACACCAAACCAAACAAAAAAAAACAAAGGAACCTACCAAACAAAAAAAACACAGAACAACAACAAAAAAAAACCTAAAAAAAACCCCACCGAACCAACAAAAAAAAACCCCACAAACACACGTTTCCCCCTCAAAAAAAAACCAACCCCCAAAAAACAAGACAACTGTGTTGGAGTTGATCTGTTTCTCAAAAAGCCTCAGCATGAATCTCCTTCCTTGACATCATGAAAGGCTTTTTTGTAGGAGCTGTTGCTCTTGTCTTCTGACTCGAGCCTGACTTTCCTTCTCTGCTCCTGGCATAGTGGGCTGCTTTTATGCTGCTGGTGGGAGCTCTGCTTGTTCACCAAATCCCTGATTGTCAAAATGCTATGAGAGTTCCTTGGGTTTGTGCTGGATCTATGTCAATTTTTAGACTGTTTTCCCACAAGTAGCTCCTTTCTGGCTTCTGTCTGTATTGGTGGAGTATTTTGACTTGGAAGTGTTGATTTTTCTCCTAGTTCCTGTTGTATCACTGGGTATAACTTCAGGCATGGTGGCTCCTTTCAATAGGAGCATCTGTTAATTGATCTGCTTTTCTGGTGGAGTCTTCCTTTTTTTTTGTTTTTGACCTTGAGGGAGTATTTTTGCCTGCTTGTACTTTCATATCTTCATTTTCCAGCCAGTCACTGGCTGGTGGCCCTCAGCTGCACAAAAAAGTAGATAGTCTTTGTTTTGAAAAAAGCCAAGAAGTACAGGATGTACGTGACGACTACTCAATTGGTGGCTGCTCTTGCTTTGTAAGACAGTGCTGAATAATCTTTAAGGATGATGGTATTGCAGATGAATTGGAACTACTCAGTTGAGGAGGCCTGACCTTATTTATTACGGTCTGTGTACTACTGCCTGTGGGTGGCTGTACCACTGTTGATCCCAGCTGTTCCATCGGAGCCGATGGGAGCTTTGGGGAGAGGTGTAGAATGAAAACTGATTGGAAGTTAGTAGCCAAGCTTTTTGGGTGGTGTTTTGAGATGCATGAACCTTGTGTGTACGGTTTCATTAGAAATGACTTCTTGAAGTGTGCAATGGCATGTTAGCTTAGGAACTAATTATTGTAGTTTGGAATTAAGAGCTGCAGCACTGATTCAGTGACTGGTGTTTTGGGGGATTTCCTGCTTATGTATTGGAGATGGCAAATAATACTCCATTGCTTTGTTTCTAAGAAGTAACATTTTATGGGTAAAATGTCTCTAGGCAGTGTTTAAAAAAACTTTTTTTTTGTCAAAAGGTAACAAAGCCTTGCAAAACATGAACACCTTTCAAATGTGTAATTGAGATGATCTAATCTTGCTGAAAAAGGGAAGCCCTGCTTATGTCGTTGTACTTCCTCTCAAGATTGTTGGAACCCTTGCTAAATTGGCAGGAAAAAACTAACCCAATCAATAAGCCGTAAATAATCCGTGTTAGGTTAATGAATTTATAAATGCTAGCATTGATGCAGGGAAGGGGACCGAACCATACAGGTTGGTGCAGGGGACTGGATGGGGAGTAAACTGTCCCTTTTAAGGCAGCTCTTGATACAAAAGTACAGCTGAATAAGTCTGTCCCTTGTTACCAGGGTGAAGTGAAAGTTTGAAATAAAGATGAAAGGAGGTTGGTTGGGGTCAGGGAACAAAGGAGAAATTAGTGCTTGACTGTGTGGTAATTGAACAGATAGAACTTGTGGCTTCCTTTATACTGCTTTCTTCTCTGAAAGTAACTTTATCTTTTAAATGATCTGTGATTACTGATGCTTTTTTTTTTTTTCCTCTTGTTTTTTTCAGGTGGAGGAGTCTCCAAGTGAGAAGCAAATAAAGAGCTCTCCTCCATCTTCAGAAAGAAAACCTATTAAGCTAGTCAGGAGCAGGTCTTTAGAAAAGTCCTTGGACCTGAATGAGAATGAAAATCTTCCAGAGAAGAGTAGTGCCTCAGATAGTGAAGAAGGTAAATCTCTTAACAAGTGGGGATCTGTAAGACAACCTGATTCTGGTGTTCCATTTCACTTGGAACTCACTTGCGGAGCAAGTTAGAGAACTTTCTGATCTTATGAAACTTGTTTGCTCACTCGTTTCACAGAAGTTCAGCAAAAACATCTTTATCTTAGTTTCTGGGGAGACAAAAAACAGCTGTTGTTGGAGGTGTTTAAAACGAAAACAAATTATGGTTTTGCTTTTTCTCCTTTGATGGGTAAAGAGTTGCTAACAGCTTAAACTAAAAAAAAAGTTTCATGTCAATGTGGTGGTGTTGGTTCACTTTCCGTGCTCTCATAGGTATTTGAAATATTTTTCTTTCCTTTGTTTTCACTTCTTGGGAACTGAAGGGAAACATTTCAGACTGTTCTTCAGTTTCTGAAAGATTTTCCCACCCCTTTTTCTTTACCCTTCTACTTTCTTAAGGCATATGGGCTTCAATGTTATTCATAGAGTAAATTGAGGAACTCACTGAAAGTCCAAGCAAGACAGCTTCCCAGCTTTCAAGAGTGTATTGTGCATATTCTGAATTTAGTCTGAAGATGAAAAACTTGAACATGCCTCTTGGAGCAGATTACACTGTGTACCAGCAGAGTTGGTATCTTAGTGGATCCTAATGTACCGTCCTCCTAACTCATACCTTGTTACCCAGTACAACATGAGAAGAAATTTGGATACCACAGTAATGTAGAGACTGTAACTTGGCTGTTAAGTGCTTCCTTTCGTCTTCTCATCACAGAAGGGAAAAGGGTAGCTGTGTATGTCTCATAGTGGTTCTTCAAAACAAGGTGTGCACAACCTGGATTGCTTCCGAAGTTGTGTGGTGGTGTGCAAATGAAAGGCAGAAAAGCTCAACGGTAGCCATGTGCTCAGTAGCAGCTGAATGGGTCTTTCATTTGCAGAGTTAACTTACTTTCATCACCTGTTGGCAGGAATAGAACAGTTCAGTTAATTGAGGCCAGTTCTTAGTCTGGCTGAGAAACTTTGGATCTCATCCTTTCAAACAGAGTTGGCAACTGAAGTTGCTTGCAGGTATCATTGTGTTGGGATCACAATGATGAGGTGTCCAGGAAAGCTTTCAAAGTCATGGATTGAATTGGCTGCCTGCAAGTTGTGATCCTTGCCTAAGGAGATGCTTTACATTCGACTACCTTACCTTTTACTCACCTGTCCTGCTTCTGTGTTTGCTTGAGTTCAGATTCAGCTCGGTGCGTGTCAGGCTGTATCGTTTTTGTGAACACACCGACTTGAACAGGCTGCTGTTGATGCCGTGCTCCTACACACTCGGCAAGTTTTGCAAATTAATTGTTTACTCCATCACAGGTGTATCTTTCAGAGCAGCAGAAAGTTTTGGCCTTTTGGGATGTTTTAGGTATCTCGCAGTTTTCCTGTCCTCTTTGTACAACTCTCTTGTCTCTGGATTTTATTTAAGAATCCTGTTGTCTTTCATGCTGCTCTTTGCCTAAACAAAAGTAGCAAATACTCCCTGCCATCCCTGCATTGGTGATGTTGAGTGAATAGAGCATATTAAACTGGAGATGTCTCTTTAATAAAAAGAGAACTGGCTTCATGCTGCTTTTCTTATTTCTCCTCCCTCTCCCAAGACTAGTCTTTTTTTTTTTATTCAGAGCAGGATTTTCTAGTCCTACAACATTAATATTTTCTCTCAGATTCCCTTCTTCGTGCTTAGAATTTTTTTCTTCTGTTTCTCTGCCTGTTTTCTGTTGCAGTTGCCTCATACTCTTACAAGGTGAATTCCTTCGTGCAAACGAAACCAGCTTTCCTACATGGCAAAGGTTTACCCATGCGATTAATTTCTCTTTTGTCCTCTGGCTTACACTCAGGCTGCCTGTGAAGGTGGCCTGGCAAATACGGTGAGGGGCAAGCTCAAGACTGTTTTTCTCCAACTCCAGGTCCAGCTGACACCCAAAGCTGGAATGCCAGAGCCTTAGCCACACTAGTTCCCTTGCCCTAAGCAATTCCCACGTTGCTTACTTGGGGGAAGGGGAGTGTGCATCTCCCTGTGCACCACTGGCCTATTGACTTGCCTTTTGATGCTTTTGTTCAATTCCGTAAATTGGAGTGTAAATCTCGAGCCATGACAAACTTTTGGCTAAGCTAAAAATTAATATCTGTGATCTTGATTCTAAATTTCAGAAAACAAGTTTTAGTTGAAGCACATAATATGCATTTCCAAAATATAGCCAAGAGATTCTGAATTTCCTCAAATGACTCTTTCATATGTAGTGGGTTTTGTTGGTGTTTTGTTTTTTTCTTTTTTTTGCAGTGACAATGTTCAGCAGCATAAAATACTTGAAAGAAAGAGGAGAAGCAGAAAACTGGAAAACAGTCTTTTCTGTTAGAAAGCTTTACTGTATATGAGGTCATCATAAATTCTTGATCTCCTTGCATAACTTGACGGACTTACTGTATTGTTTCTATTAATATTAATAACCACCTTAAACGTGCCGTCTGAGGGAGAGCGTAACCGCTTGTACTACAATGCTGTGAGACGGGTACAGTGGTGGCTTAACTTTTCTTGCAGATGGGGATATATGGGACAGAAAATGTTTGAAATATGGGGTGGTTGAAATTAGTTCAACCCTGTTTTTTCGTTTGTGTTTTTTTTCCCCAGGATAGGAAATTTTGTGAATATACAGTGTATGTAAGGAGGAGTGACCCTGTTATCTCACTGGCATTTTAATCAAAATACCAAAAGCACTTATTTTGTTGAATATATAACTATCAATTATTTGTTGCTTTGGGTTTGGAGGATGTATGTTTGAGTTATCTGAAGGTGAAAGGCATAAATTTTATCCTGTGAACTGTCACAATATTTGCTTAGTACCTCCTTAAGTTAATTTTGTACTTAGTCTTTTAAAGGATAGGAGAGCGCTTTGATAATGGTTAGTATTGCTGATGCAGTCTTTAACTAGATGGTTCCTGGAACATGTTCACTCGAGGAATTGGTTTTATTGGTTTGATTTCAGGTGTATCTGGTTAAAGACTCCTGCCTGTATATTCTTCATGCAGCGTGCAATTTTTCCCCATCCCAGTGGCACAGAAATCCTCAACAGTGCCAAGATTTGCAGATACTTTTTTTTTTTTCCTCCTGATACTTCCTCAACTCTGTGGAGTGGAAAAATCAGATGTCTTATTAATTTGTTTGATAGCCTCTGCTCTTACCGGTTCAGCTTTCGTAATTTGCTTGTGGTGTGTGTTTAGCTTCGAGCTGTTGGTTGTTAATGGAAATTTTAAAAACAATTTTTTTTCCTGCCACCTTCCCCCCCCTCCAGTTTTCTGTTTGCCTTTTCTTGCACTGCAGATGTTTTCAAATCTCTGCAATCACTGCTGCATAGTGGTATTATATTCAAACACGATTTCACAGCTTGCCTTGCAATGATGAAAGTGACCTTATGAAGTGCAAGGCAGTAGTGGGGGAGGGAACAGACTTGCTGTCTTCATGCTGAACCAGGACACTCTGGCTAATACGTGTACTTCTGGATATTTGGGTCCCTAGGGATCCGAACCTAAAGTCAGAATAATCTCATGTTCTCATCAGACAGTAGCTCCAATGCATCTACAAATATATTAAGGCTAAGAGAGTCAGTGGTTGGTGATTACACACTGCTAAGGGGTTAGAGCAGTATTCAAAGCTAAGGAGCTAGACTGATACCTAGAGATCTGTACAAAACACTTTGTTCATAAACAGTATTTCTAAGCCAGTCCTAGGTAGAATGCTTGATGTTAAAACAAAGAAAAGTTTATATTCTGTTCAAATTGCAAGTGTGTAAACTGTGCACTTATTCTTTGCTGCGCTACTATTTCTGCTCGCTGATTCGTCTAGGAGAAGCCCAGAAGGAAGTGACTTGAAGCTTGTAAGCAAGCAGTAACTTGCTTCCACAGATAAGGAGCTCACAGCAGCATTCATTCATACAAGCACCTTCCAGACATATTGTCTGAAAGATTTCCAGACTTTTTGGGAAAACAGCTGTTTGAATCCTGATATCTAAAGTGGCTGATAGGCCTGATACATCAACCCAGTTTCAGCTCGGATTTTCTGAAAATACTGCTTTATGTGATAACACCGTTTTTAAATTTGTTTTGTTTGTTCCAAGAGCTGAGAGGGATTGTAAGTAAAAACATACTTCTCGATAAATGCTCTTGTGCACTTGGCACTTCATTGATTATTCCTTATTAGAGACATGACTAGGTAGAAATGGTGTAGGTAAATCAACTAACAGGAAGTTTTGCATAGACCTGTGGATGCTTTTGCTTAAGACTCCCTACAAGGAGGGCAAACTTCATGCTTGAAGGGTAAAATATCTCGGTAGCAAGGTCTGTTCCTTAAGGTAATAGTGCATGGGCTTTGTGCATATTGTAAGTTTCTGTGGCTTACCAAATTGCCTCTTATCAGCAGAAACGTCGCAGCTATCCTCAGGCATTTCAGGTGACCATACAGTTGTGTCATTTCCCTAAGCCTCACTGGGGCAAAGGTGGCTTGTATTATCTTGTATTTGCTAAGACATACACAAATAGCTGTCAGAGCTTATCTGATGCATGGTGACTTGATCATGTGTTTGGGCCTTTGTAGGTTTTTTTAAGTGATAGCAGATTCCTTGGGCGTGTCAAGGTCCAGCTAAGACTCAACCAGAGTAACTAGGTTTGAATTACCTGGTATCTGACTCCGTGCATATTAGCTGATGCGCAGTAGGCAAAGGGAATGTCAACATCAACATCTGAAGCTTCCTGTCTCTTAGCAGAAGAGAGGAAGTGGGGAGTGCACTCTGAAAGCAGAGGTCTGTAATGTTGAGGTCTTGCTAGCTGAAGTCAAACTTACAGTTCACTTGAGCTGCATTTCGATGGAACTAGGTTCAGGTCTGAGAAGAAATACGGTGAACGTAGGCTGAAAACCCAGGCTGAACTTATGGCTTCCTGCAGAATGTTTCAGCGCAGCAGGATCTGTATTCTAGCAAGTAGTGACTGCTTGTTGGCTGATTAAATAGGCCTCTTAAAACGCACGTGTGCTTTCTGTCCCACCTCACAATTGGTGCGACTTACAGCTGCATAAGCAGAACATGGTGTGGGAATGTTTCTATAAACTGAAAGAGGGCAGATTTAGAATAGATATAAGGAAGAAATTTTTCGCTCAGAGGGTGGTGAGGCACTGGCACAGGTTGCCCAGAGAAGTTGTGGATGCCCCATCCCTGGCAGTGTTCAAGGCCAGGTTGGATGAGGCTTTGAGCAACCTGGTGTAGTGGAGGGTGTCCCTGCCTATGGCAGAGGGGTTGGAACTAGATGATCTTTGAGGTCCCTTCCAACTCTAACCATTCTATGATTCTACAATTCTACATTCTCTTGTGCAAGCGCAGAAACGTGGCATGCACACTTCACTTCTGGAGTCCTAGATTGAAGCCTGATTAGGTCAGAGAACTCTTTTGGAGGTAGATGTGTAACAGGGACTTTTAGCAGGCTAGAAGCAGCACTAGAGCAGAAGTCTGTTCGGAGGCAGAATTGGATTTCTTTGGGCACTGTTCTGGTGTTCAGTTGCTGCATTCGCATTTATCAATACTGACTGCTACCAAGCAGTGATGTTTTAAGTGCTGTAACCTTAGCCTATAGGCAGCTTGTGAACTATAGCTTGATATTCAGGGTACCTTTGCACTGGTGGCTGGTACTGACCTTTGCTAGCTCTGTTTTTCCGTTCATTTGTGTCAGTTGAAAGGTTAGGTATCCTGGCTTCTGTCTTGCTTCTGCAAGATTTGCTTGCAGGCTTTTTGTTTCATTTTAGTCGTGGGGTGGGGTTTTTTGTTTGTTCGTTTTGTAGTTATAGCTTAGGATGGACTTGTTTCTAAGGCATAAGCAGAGCGAGTTAGGGTTGGCACAGGAGACTGCTTGCCCTCCAGGATTATAATTCTACTCCTTATCTCTTGTGAGAGTGGCTGAGACAACCACAAAGCTGAGTCATGCCATCAACCAACAAGAAGCAGAAGTAGCAAAGATCAGTGCTGCAGCCACAGAATGCCACTGGGGTGCTTGGTGGTGGTTTTGAAGTAGGAGATGGCAATTAAGCACCTTGGTGCACTTTTCAGGACTGCAAAATGGAGCGGGGTACCTCTTGGATTCCTCCCTCCGTACCCCTTTATAAGAGGAACGGTTTGAGGAAGCGTTTGGCAGTCTGTATCTGGTCTCTTAGACTGTGGACGCTGTCTCCCTGTGTTATAGGAAATGAAAGTAGCTGTGGACTGGCTATATTGAATTGATAGCTAGAGTGCATAGCTGGTCATGCCACACAGTCTGCAATGGAATAATGCAAGTCCATAGAAAAATTAGTAGTTCTTCTATCCGACTCCGTAGAAGGTCACTTTCTGTTTTCTACTTTTTTTTTGAGTATTAAGAGGGATAGCTGTTGTGAGACTAAATCTAACTTTAATGGAGGTATTCCTACCATAGGTGTCCTAATAGTCCCCAAATATATTGGGTAAAATGTTGGTTTGGTTCTGTGCTTGACAATCTACAATTATTTGTTCAGTATTGTAGATATTAAAAGCAGAATTCTGAAACTAGCTTGCACAAGTAAGAAGAAAGCTAGTATGGTTTCACTGTCCTGCTTACTGAACACGTGTCCTTTGTACAATAGGCATACATGTTAGTGAAGATTATACTACCTTTTTGTCTTCCCCAATATTTTCTGTAGGATTAGTAGAAAGCCGCATGCAAAGCTAAAGGGCTGGGACCTTGTGATGTTGATTTATCAATTTGTTTGCACAGGAAATGGGAGGGGGAGCTAGAAAATCAACTCTGGACTTTGCTCCTGAAGGCAACCTGCCTACCAAATCATGTGCTATCATTACTGATTCTCTGAGAGTGAGAAATAAATGCTGATGCAAGCTTGGGAAGGATTTGAGCTGTAATAAAGCCTAGAATATTGTAAATGTTCTTTATAGTACTACTCTTTTCTTAACCTGACCTCTCTGTCTTTCCTTAGCAGTGAAGGAGGCTGTCTCTGAGAATGATCTCTATGGGAGGCTCTTTATAAACAGAGTTTTTCACATCACTGCAGACAAGATGTTTGAAATCCTGTTCACCAATTCTCACTTCATGCAGAGGTTTCTCAATTCCAGGAGTATAGTAGGTAATATACTTTTCTCCCTTCCATCTGTGTTGCAAACTATCCTGAAGATTTCAACCTCTGAGAAATGTTAAATAGGACTAAGTTGAATTTCAAGTTTCTCCTTGCTTTAAAAGAATGTTGAAGCTTCAAAGTTCCATTGTGAGAGAGGATATTTAAAACTGGTTTCTGTAGATCAGTCGCATTTTGGAGTAACAACCTCCTTTCAGTGCACCACAAAACTGCACCTTAATGCCTGAATTTTAGGTGGACTATTAATTTGATGCTTTCTCTGGGGTATTTCTGTTTACATAGTGTCCCAGAAATAGTGAAATGTGTATGACTGGCACATAAGCAAAATTATTGCATCCTCCTAAATGTTGCTTACAGGCTTTTAATTTTCTGGATGAGTAAATCTTGTTCACTGAGATCATAAGAACAGAAAATTAAGTCAAAAAGGGTAATAATTATTCAGTGTCAGCTTGGAAGGCACGGTGGCAAAAGCTTTTGATAATGCTAAGTGAATCTATTCAACTTTAAGAAGATGCGGAAAAGGCATATTTTCATTTAATTGCTTACTCTTCTCCCCACCCTCAAGTCTCTTTCAGTAGACTCGGGTTCAGCTACTTAGTGCCTCACCTTTGTCCATCAGTGAACTACGGTTTTCCTTTTTCCTGCAAAAAACACAACCATTTGGAATCAGTTTTCTGTCTCTCTCCCCACCACTGTTCTTAAACTGTTAAGATATGACAGGGCAGAAATAATGCTTTTTAGGTAATCTGCATGTGAGATTTTGCATAATTCTCATCTAGATGCTGTATCAACCCCTTGGAATAGAGATTCCAGTGGCAATCAGTTGAGGACTTTGACGTACACTGTAACGATTAACAATCCACTTTGTGGGAAGTTCACGACTGCGACTGAAAAGCAGGTACTGTGTGTGTGTCTGTCTGGTGCCCTTTAACGCAAGGGAGAGGTCAGCTCTGCGGTCTGTCAGAGGTCTGACCATGGATTAGAGTTCAGTGAGCTGAATCTGCAGTTTAAACGTAGCATCTTGAAGGGTAGCTTGCTGCCCCTCTCACCATTAGTGAGCAACTGCTGATGAAATCAGAGAGGCTTTCTGTCTTTACAGATGGTGGTAAACTTCTCTCACAAAGTCTGTGGGGATAAGTATTAACACCTTTTGTGAATCGAGGGGTGAAAAGATGCAAGGAAATGCTTTCAGTGTCCACTTCTGGGCTCCCTGGTGTGAGAGAGATGGAGAGAGTCCAGTGAAGGGCCACTAAGGTAGCTGAGGGACTGAAGCATCTCATATGAGAAACAGCTGAGAACTGAGACTATCCAGCCTGGAGGAGGGAAGGCTGGGGGGCGTCTTACAAGATATATAAGTATCTGAAGGAAGAGTGCAAAGACCACCAAGCCAGGCCTTCACCTTCACCACCAAAGGCCACACCTTTCAGTGGTGCCCAGTGACAAGACCAGAGACGATGGGCACAAGCTGTAACACCAGAGGTTCCCTCTGAACATCAGGAAACACTTTTTACTGTGAGGGTGATGGAGCACTGGAACATATTGGCCATAGAAATTGTGGGATCTCCATCCTTGGAGATATTGGAAAACCATCTGGTCCTGGAGAAACCAGCTCTAGATGGCCCTACTTGAGCAGGGGGGCTGGACAAGATGACCACCTGAGGTGCCTTCCAGTCTCGGCCTTTCTGTAATTCTGCTTTGAGAAAAGTCTCATAGGTCAGTCTCAAAGAAGAGCTGTGGTCGTGAATCAGTGGCCAGCCTTGCATCTACTACTTGTAATGGCAGTGGGGAAGTACTGCTGCTGCCTACGTTGGCTCTAGCAGGAGGCATCTTCTCTTTCCCCACTGCATCTATACTTGCTATTCTTAACTGGGTTTTATTGGGGTTGTTCAGGCTTTCTCCCTACTCCAGTTCACTTGGAGTTGGTTGATCTAGCCTAAGGAATTCAGGCTGAAAGGAAAAAAAAAAAATCTGGTACCATGAATATACCTTATTTTTATTTTCTTTTATGCTAGATCCTGCACAAGCAGAGCCAGAAAGGTCAGTCTTATCAGGTGGATGCTGAGGTACTGACCCACGATGTCCCCTACCATGATTATTTCTACACTGTGAACAGATACTGCATCAGTCGCACATCCAGTCACAAGTGTCGATTACGGTGAGCCGGAGTGGTGCACAGTGGGAGGGGAAAGCCAAGGCACATATCTTACGGGGTTGATGAAGTGTGCTTGTCAAAAGATCTGCCAACAGCATAGAGAAGGTCAACTTCCCTTGAAGTTGTGGATCTCTTCTGAAAAATAAGCTTTGTTTCTCTCATCGCATGTATGCTGCATTTGGATCTCATTAATTCAGTGAGAAACAAACTCTTGTGTTGACTCTCTGAGGTACAGAACTCATCTCCAAGACTGAATTATGTTCTGACCAGCCTTGTGTTTTTGAGCGCAGCTTTGTGAGTGGGGTAAATTGCAACTACCTGAGATGTTTTCTTACAGAGTTTCCCATATATATTTGCTAAGGGCCTGCAGAGGAGGATGGTTTCATAAGAAGGTGCAGGGAAGATGGAACATACCTACCTTTGCAGGGGAGGTACTCAAGTGAATCAGGCTCCATTATTAACTTCTGCCTAGATAGGAGAGTCTTAAAAGGGACTTCCCTTTCCTCTCCTGTTTGTTGAAAATGCCTGAAGTGATCAAGTTTCATGTTCAGTGCACTTGTGTCACTTTCTGACTATGTAACCGTTGGTAGTTTTTGTGCTGTCTTTAGTAAAACCTTTTATCTCAAAGTTCACCGGTTCCCAGGAAGGGTAAGCAAGCCTGGATTTTATTCTGACTTACCTCAGGCTATAAAAGTGCTGAAGACTCCCACTCTATGGGGAGGAGAAGGGAAGAAAGGTCCTTGAACAGCTATTCTGGATGATATGGGGTTTTTCTTGAGTGAGTCATTCTTCCTCTTTGAGGGCTGTATTTGTTTTATCTGAGATGCATAGCAACCCTAGGCTAAGAGCAAAAACCTAGGTTTCAATGTGGTGCACAGAGCATGCACGTACAGAACAGAAGGTGCATGGTGGTGGTAACAGCTGGCTTTATACTGCATTTAAAATAGCTCAAAACCTCTATTTGGAAGATGCTGTTTTGTTAGATGAGAAACGCAACAGGCTTACATTGATTTGGGTGATTACTTGAGAACGTTGAAAAAAGTGTATTCTAGGATGGTCAGTGTTATTGACTTAAACACCTCAAAATCACAGGCTGTCCTTTTGTCCTTTAAGAACTTTGGGATTCATTCAGTTTTAGAAGCAGCCCTCTGAATTATTCTTCACCGATTCATTTCTATTCTGGAAGCGTTATTGATTAGCTTGACCTGGGGAATGCAAGGCAGGACCATTACTTCGCCTCTGTCATGCTCACAGAAAGACAGATTTTAATTTCTGTCAACTCAGGGTAAGATCTGAGCACTGGGTGCATAAGTGGTGATAATGAATTTCATCTGTTGCCGTTGTGGTGCCCATGTAATACGTCATGTGTACACATGCAGAGTAAAAAGCAGGTCTTTATAATCTGAAAGCCTGAAGCCTATTTTAGATACGTTAAAATGAGAACGCTTAAGAGGAGAAAAACTCTCTCCTAGTCTGAGTCTGAATGAAAACAGTTCAATATATTTCTCATAATTTGGACATTCAGATTTCCTGAGGCTTTAGGTAGACACATTGTCTTTGCTGCTGCCTGTCTCTTGCCTTGCTTCGGTGTGATTGCTACCCAGGTGGAAAGCCAAGGCAGTTCCGGTTGGTATTTCAGATTATGAACATAAGCTAGAGGCCTGCTTCAGATAGATTTCTGCTATCACTGTGCTACCTAGAAGAGCACTCTTTCACTATTGCATTCTGTTTATTAGGGTTTCTGCAGAAGTGAAATACAAAAAACAGCCTTGGGGCCTTGTCAAGTCTGTAATTGAGAAGAATACCTGGGGAGGAATACAGGAAAACTTCAAACAACTTGGTGAGGCATTTACTTCTTCGGCAGAGTAAGGAAGCTGCCTTTCCTGTGTATGTCTTCATGTCTGTCAAACTTGATTCTTTAAAGAATGGTTTGAAAAGAAGGCAACACCAAAGGAACCTCCAAGTCAGAAGTTGCTGTCATCAATATATCTGCCAATTCCAGAGTGTAAAAGAAGCCTCGTAGCTTAATGCTCACAAGGAGCTCTTGTATACCTTGTCATAATTGCTTTCTGAAGAAAGCATGGGGAGCAGCAGGAAAGCTGTTACTCTCAAATTGCATGTGCCAAAGTATTTCTGTGGTTGTAGGTACAAGAAGAGAAGCAGTGGCCCTTGGCAGGTGCCCCGGCTGTGTCTGTTAGCAGTCTGGCCAGTCACAGCTGCAGGCTCACAGTCTGACACAAGTCCTAGTCTCAGTCTAACAGTGTCTTGAAGGGCTTCTCCAACTGCTGTCTAACATACCGTTAAACAATCCTGCACAGGCTAAACGTACAGCATATCTGAAAAGTGTACTAAGTGCCCTCTAGCAAATAGGACAGGTAGTACAGGTCAAGGTGAAGTTTATGTCGGTCACCTCCTTTAAGTTCATTTGCTAGAAGGTGGACTTACTCCCCTCACTGCCACCCTCCATATCTCACAACTTAAGTCTTCAGTGCTAGGCTCAGCAGCTTTCCTTTTGAAAGTTCAGTAACCTTATTTTTTCCACTGCAGAATCAGATCTCCTAATGGAGGAATACGCAATTAATCAGTCCATAGAAGACTCTGGAAAATTAGTTGCCCTGCGACGAAGACGACGCACTTTACACCGGAGTCTGGCAGAATCGCTTCCCAACACTCCTCTAGTGACATGGGAGTAGAATCCCAGGGCAGCGTAACAGGTAGGAATTTTTATATCAAGTGTTTTCCAAAAGAGGTGTTCAAGAAAGCTAAACTTTTAAAATAGTACAAGAGTAACACTTGTTTGTGAGTTACTCTCGCTGTCTTTAACTGTTGTGATAACAAATGCTTTGGTGTGCTTAGGCTTGCATAAAATAGATTCGGACTGTGCACAGAGATGAGTATCTCACGAAATCGAACGTAATCTCACCCTCTGTTTTTAACAAACAAACAAAAACCAACCAAACCTAAAATGGTGCACTGTACCTGCATAGGATTGAAAATGAGATAGGATAGGAAATAAATTTAGCCTGACTTCTGTGAAGTTGCTAAAAAAGGCTTCATTTCTTCGAATTACTGCACACAAACTCGTGAGTTGATTGAACTTTAACTGTCACTTGCCTCTTGGCCCTATCATCTCTTATTTGATTTTTTTCAATGTTAGAGTCCATTTCCTGTCTGCTTCTGTAATTTCTGCATCACTGAAGCATTTCTTGCAGTTCCCCTGCCACTAGGCATGGCAGACTTGGACACTAAATATACAATATTAGCTACACCTACAGAGATGAACATCTGTGCACTAATGTGCACCAGAGAATGGTGGATTTCATGACACAACTTGAATTGTGAACACTGACACAGGAGCAAGTGCCCTCTCCTAAAGGGAGAGACGACACTGAGTATAGCACAGGGAGCACTTGGATCAACAGCCTGTGTAACGGACTCTTTACCTCACTGAGATTACTTCCTGATTACTTAATTTTGCTACTGGTGCTCCACCTTTTCAGGTGAGTGTGTTTGCATACACTACAGCTTTCATGTATGCCCTTTGTCCCGGGCAGGAAATGGGAATGTAAGGAACTGTTTTAGGAGAAGAGGTGATTGTATTTAAAGATCAGCCTGCCCACAGTGGTAGGTGACTGCTGTTTAGTTTGCAGGGGACATGCACGCTTCCTCTCCCTCGCTAGTGCCAGATGACAAGCAGGTGCTCTTCTGAAAGACTGTCTTCAGGGCCAACATGTAAACCAAGCCAGTAAGGTTGGGACAAGTTACAGGAAAACTTGATTCGACGCTGGTTGTCAGAAAGACTAATGTGGGCAGGAGAACAAGCAGGAGAAACATACTTTGCAGCCTGTCTCTGCTTGTGTGTGACTAGCAGTGTATGCGCTGAATGAGAATTAGTAAGGGATGGACTGTAGCCTTCTCAGGCTATCTAGGTTTAATGTGAACATGCTCCACTGCTGTGTTCTCCACAGCATACTGGGGTAGGGGGAATCCTGCTCCTGATGGAAGAGGCTGACTGTCCAGCTGACTTGACTGAAATGGCTGCAGAAATGCCTTGGTGAATGTTGGAGGTGATCTTGTGCACCCACATAATCTGTTATTTTTTCCCATCAGAAGCTGTTGAGCTATTCTGTGTGAAATGCTGGGCACTGACATGTATCTGCAGGCACCCTTTAGGAATGTTCTTCAGTGCTTTTTAACCTCCTTCTCTTCCATGCCCTATAGGAAGGAAAAGAGACGCTGTAAGTAGGACCACCACCATCATTGTAGTAATGAGTGTCTTGTAAGTACGCACTTGCATTGAAATGTATTTTGACTCAGGCTCATCTTGGTCTTTATCTGTGTTTGTCTCTACCTCACTTGCATGTTAACTTAACACTGCGTGTAGCATGATAGATTCTAACCTAATTTGAATGGAGCTTTCGGGTATAGGAGGGGAATGGATTGACTTAAGTGACACACAGAATGAAAATGCTGACTTGCCAAAGTCGTCTGCCTTGCAGGTTTACTTAGGTCTGATCCTGTTAAAAAAAGTCTAGAACTTACTCATTCCTAGCTTTAAAAGTTCCAAGAGGAGACGCTGTTGTCATTACTACTGGTTGCTATTATACAGCTTAACGCTAACTGCTAAGAATTGTTTGGGTAGATCTTTATTTCCAGTGTAGTGCTGCCCCACACCTTTGGCTTTTTCTCCCAGAAGGTTTCTCTTTTCTTAGCTGTTTTTAGCCAGGATCTTGTTTCTGTATCATTGCAACTGAAATTGTGACAGGACTTAATTTTTGTTGTCTTCTCTCTGCAGTTTGCTGCTCTTGGTCTTGCTGAATATAACACTGTTTCTCAAACTGTCAAAGATAGAGCATGCAGCTCAGTCCCTCTATCGTGTCCAGCTTCAGGAAGAAAGCTCTTTGAAGTAAGTTGAATTCACAATCTTTGCTTTCTTGCTTCCTCAGCTTATGTGAGAATCTGATCCAAAGAAATAAATTTTTGAACAATGAAACTTGGTGGTAAGTTTTTAAAAGCTGCTGGGACTTGCTGCTCTTCTGTGGCCTATGCTGATGTCCAGTGACATGTCTGACTGCACCTTGCAGTAGTAAATTTCTCCTTTGACAAGCTGTTTTTTAGGGGAATGTTAGCCTTAGTTTGCATTTATCACCCTGCTGTGACATCTTACGTGAATATCGTAGTGCTGGTGACAGAACTGAAGTGCTCACTTCATCCTGTGTGAACCAGCATGATCTCAAATGTGATGTTAAAGATTAATTTAGCTTTTTAGCCTCTTTCTGTGAGTCTCCTGCTAAATCTCCTCTCCCTTTCAAACTTCCTTTTGTATTCAGAGACATGGAAGACGCTCAGATATTGCTTCCTCTCTCAAATATGGTGTAGGCAAACAAGTTAACCATAACCTGATCTTGAGTATGGAGGCGGTGTGGTGGGCTCCCGTAGTGATCATCTCAGAACTGGTTAGAGTAGCTTTTCTTATGAAGAATATTGCCCTCTGAAGTGTGAGGACTTACATTGCAGACGTGATGTGAACTCACTTGTCTGTGGCAGCCTCTGTCTGCAAAAGTCTGAGGCGGTATTTTCAAGGCAACAGGGATTGAAGTTCAACTGCAGGCAGCTTTTTATGCGGCTTCTGGGAAAGGGTGCTTTCAGCAATGGCAGAGCAGAGAGCAGCTGCTTTTAGAAAGGCATGGAGGTACTTGTTTCGTATTTCTGATGTAATCTCCATCTCTTTCAGCATATCCCCAGAAATGGTATCAAAAGAGGAGATCCCTCAGTATGATAAGGAACAGGTCAAACATGTGAAGGGAGTTTTGAGAGACTCGATTGAAATGCTTGAGCAGGTAGGTCTGCCAGTCTTTCCCGGTGATATTCTTGTCTTGTTTCTCAGCAGCTCAAGTTTTCTCCTTTATGCCATTATAGCTTTCGTTTGATGTCTTCTAGTCCTCACTAAAGTTTTCATGATTCCTTGACCTGTTTTGTCCTAGGCTTGAATTTGGTGCATAGGTAATACTCATGTTTCTGATGTTTTGGGTTGGTTTTGCTTGTTTTTGACTAAGATTAAATATTCATCTCAATTTTTCTTAAACCTGTCGAGTACCTTTATTGATGAGGTGTGTTTGAGAATGTGCAGTTCTGAATCATGACAAAGCAAAGACTGGAATAATTCAAAACAGATCCTCTTTTCTAAGACGACTCAAAATCTAACGTTAAGTATTTGCCCACCTCATTATGAGGCTTCTTCACTCAGGCTTATCCTGGTTTTTGTTCCCCACTGCTCTTCTAGATATTGATGAGAGCTTCACTTAGTCTTGGTAACAACAGACCACCTAATCTCCAGTGAAAAATAAATAAATTCTACAGACCATATGTTTCTTAGATGCTCCATAGCTATGGAGTTAATCTTCCTTCTTTCCAGTAACTTACATTTCCAGGCTCTTACATACTACAAACACTATATAAAAAATGAGGTTGTTGAATGCTGTTGTGTCTCTCTCCTGGTGAAGTCCAGGACTGGTAAACCCCTAGGCTGAAATTTCAACTCAGCAAGTGAAGGACAGTAAATTCATACTTTGTTTTTTACTTACAACTTATGAATGTTCTGATGTTAAGTTCTTTTATTAAATCTGAAAATGTGACACAAGAAATTATTAGATTAGGAAAGCTGTGGGGGAGTTCACGTGCACCTCTATCCATCACCACTTTGCTCTGTGTTCTCCCACGCACTGAAGGAGGGTAGAAAAAGAAGCAGTTTTTGATACTCCTTGTTCAGAGGTGTCTCTGCACACAGAATTGCTATTAATCTATTAACCATTTTGATCACAGCTTGAAAAAGCTTGAGGGCTGGAAATTTCACTGTAGAAATGTGTTTTCTGGTTTCCATGCCCTTTTCAGTTTCTCTGCTTACTACCCAAAAAATTTGTAATTCTAAAGTGTTAAACTGCCTTTCGAACAAACAGAATGTTGAAAAACAAAAGAGAATTCAATCACCTTTTTCATCCCAAATAACGCTTCTGTCTGGAAGTCATGACACATCTTAGTGCCTGTTACCTTTGTGTTTTCTGAGAGTTGTCAATAATCTAAACATTTTGTGCACCGAAATGCGCTGGGAGGACCAGGTATTAAAAGAAAATTCGTGCTTCGCTGTCATGTTCCTTAGAGTGTTTGTTACAAACGTTAACTGTGACTGAATGTAAAATGGCTGGGTGGGCTTATCTTACCACCTCACCAGACGACAGTGTGGAAGACTTTATCACACTGGATTGTTAGTAATTATAAACTGTAGAGTATAGTGGTTTGGGGAGCACAGTAAGGCAACTGTTTCTAGAAACAGGGAGGAGGAAATTGTATGAAACCTTTAAAAGGAGGAGGGAAACATTATTTATTATCTGATATCACTTGCCAACAGACTGACTTAATTGGGGGGGGTATGATGGTTGTGTCTTCACAGTTAAAAAGCTCCCTTTCCATGCTGCAAAGAAGCTTTGACCACTTGAACAGGACACAGAGCAGCAAGACTGAGAGTTAATACTCGCATCAGCTTTCCATTCAAGATGTGGGAAGAACAGATGTGTGTTTGAGGACTTGTGGGTAGGGATTGTAACTGTTACCTTTGGACCTTTTACTATTTGGCTCAAAAGCTGCACGGAATAAAGGCTTCTGGAGGAAGTAAGATGGGTTCTGCATTCCCACAGCCTGATGATCTGTCTCTCCTGCTGGCCCTGTATCCTGGGGAGTCTCATTTACAAACTGCAGAGTGCTCACATCCCCCTGTGGTGAGTGAGCAAGGGCTGTTGTACTGCTGGTTCATGGATCTGCAAGGTTCAGAGAAGGGGAGAACATCCTCAGCACAGAGCTGGGCTTGTCTCTAATGAAATCGCAGCTTTTTATGTCAACTTGAAAAATGACTATCAATGAAGAGTGCTTTGGAGAGAAAGAACAGGTACTGGTTTCCCAGCCCCAGGATATTTAGATGTTGGTTTTTTTTTTTTTTCAACCATGGGGACCTTTTAAAGCAAGTCACCATCTTTAAAGATGAATATTTTTAAGATTAATTAACCATAAACAGGAAAATGCTTGACACCTCTTTGCTAAATCTCTCTTGCATACTGTGAGCTTTGGCAGTCTGCCTTCTGCCATATGTTTCTAGCTCTCCCAGAGAAATCTCAGCCCTCAGTATTTTCCCTCCATCAAGGGCTGCTCTTTAGTTCCGTAGCATGGCGTGTGCCCACTGATGATGAGACACCTTTGCTTCTGGCTTCAAGCTTGTTCTGAGCAGTTTGGGAGAAGGAAGATGAAAATAAAAAGGGAAAGCAAGGGGAACACAAAATCTGTGGTTGGAGGGCAGTGCTGGCCGGCACGCTGCTTAGCCTGGCACCGGGGTCGCTTAGGGGGTGCTCGTGGGGGGGCTCGAGCTGTGCAATTCCGGGTCCTGGGGTGAAGCCCTCGGCGGGGTCGCTGGCTGTTCTGCGGGATGAGAAGCTTCC